ATAGTTGCTTGTCTCAACTTGTCTGCAACATGAAATAATGAATAAAACAAGTCGATTTTGTTTCTGCTCAAACACAGGAGACTCTTAGCTGTAAGAGCCTGAACCGCATGAAGTGCAAACGACTGGAGAAGGTTAAATAAAATAACATGCCGATACGCAACAGGGACTATTATTCTCCAGGTCAGTCTCGGAGAATCAGAATGAAATGTTCGCCTGCAAATATACAGTCGCTACGCTGCAGTAAATGGATGGGTGCAGCAACAGACTTGCACTGCAACGAGAGGCTGCGTGCAGCCACCCACCTCAGCACAAACTGGGTCATAGAAACATTGCAAGTTTCAATGGCAAAGTTCAACTCAGTCCCTGCAGCTGAGCATCACAGAACCTCGGTACCTAATGCAGAGCTGCCTTAGAGAAACAACTCGGGAGAGGAAAGTTCAGAAGCTAGCAATTAGCATTACTAATAAAATAATAAGCCTAACATTTGATAGATCGCCTTATTTCTGTCTCAGGATTTACTGTCGTGTAGTGACTGTGTATTTCTAGGCAAACAATTAACTCTCAGCTGGTTTCTCCCACCTAGCTTGGGGATGCCGAACACAGTCATAGTCCTTCCGGTCCTGTTGTAGCTGAAATACTTAAGCTAAACATGGTGCAGAAAGTGTCTCAGTCGGTCTAGCCCCAGTGGTGTATAACAGGCCAATTCCATGGCAAGTCTTCTGATGTACAAGTTAGAATGAAGCCCTCAACCTCATCCAACGCAGTGGAAAAATTAAACTCATTCCTGCAGCTAAACTGCATTCTGAAAACAGAATGTGGGTGTGTTAACAATGAGGGACTTATGAATCATTTTGGATTTGGCTCTTACTTGCTTCGTTGGAGTGCTGTGGTGGTGGGTGGGTGGGGGGGATGGGAAAGGAAGCCTAGCATAACACATAACTCCACAGAGTGAAGCTACAGAACTATTTCCCCTGCAAGCACAGTACATTGCTATCTGGTTCTGATTGCCCAGCAGAAGATACCTGTTCTGCAGGTCGAACAGTGCGTATCCAGAGCAAACTAGATCGAGTTCCATCTCGAGAGTCGATACTCTCCAAGCACTGAATCAGGCCATGTGTTGGATTATGTGGCATTTCCTGCGCTTGTATATCCAATGAGACACAAGGTCCTTTATTGGCCTGATTTCAGAACAAATTTCAAGCCAATACTAAATTATTTTCCTTTCACAATTCCACCCCCACTTTAATTATCCTGTGCAAACTTTTAGCTATGATTGTGTCGTCCCTAGTGTCAATCCTATGGTCTGCGGTCAGCCAACAGGAGGAACTCTTGTTGGGGGAAGATAAGTCAGCTTTTCCTCTCTCTCTCTCTCTCTCTTTCTGTCTCACTCACATTGGAAGATGGCTCCTTCACAAACACACCAGCTAGAACTCAGCTTTCCTTTGTAGTTCACCATCTCATGGTCCAACTGGTGGCCCGAGCAATAATCCTTTGTATTCGATACAGCTGCTTACCACATCGCTGCGACGTCTCCAAGCGCTTCACAGGGTTTTACTGTGAAGTGTAGTGACTGTATGTTTTGTGGGCAAACAATGAAGGAACGATGCATACCAGAGATCTCTTTAGATTGAGCGACCAGGCAGGCAGGCGGGAGGGTTCATTATTAATGCTCCACCACATTTTAAAGACTAGGTTGAGCTGGTGTCTGGCAACGAAAGAGTTGTGAATCGCTGGTCTATCACAATCTGTAGCACTGTATTTATCTAATTGTGGCCAAACCAAATTGTCTGCCTTCTGCTCCCCTTCCTAATTAGTTTTTATAGTGCACCCTCCGCATCAGGTTTGAATTAGACTTCCTGATGGATACGAGACAGTCACAGTCTTCAGTGTTGTTAGCACGCTCACTTAGGAATTACACAGCACCGGAAAAGAGACCACTGCAGTCTATCTGTCCCGGTCTCAAAGCAAAAATAAAAAAATCATCTATTCCTCTCTCACATCCCTCAAATCGATTTCTTCACCTAATAGCCATCTAATTCCTTCTTAAATCTGTTGACACAATCTGCTCGCTCAGCCCCTATGGTTTGGCCACTCCACATAATCACTGCTCTCTGTTGTTGAACGTAAACTGTTCACCTTCGTGCTGATCCTCTGTTTCAATGTGCATCAGAGCTAGGCCCTCTTCTGCAAACATTACCTGCTACCTAATAACTATTGCTGATGTTGCCAAAATTAAGCCAAAGTATTGGGAGATAAAACGACATTAGACTGGCACATAAATGTTTGGCAACTACTTGTGCAATTATTAATAAACAATGATAACAATAATAAATAATAATACTTCCAATTAATATTGTGCCTTATCGGGTTGTCGAGGCGACTCGCAGGATATTCTGCAAAGTGCTGTAACTGTGTATATTTGTGGAGAACGTGGCGGCCAATTTGTGCACAGCAATGTCCCACCAACAGCCATAGAGTGAGTGACCAATTTTATTTGAGGGATTGTGGGCCGGGACACTGGGAGAGAGAATCTCCCTTCTCTTTTCGAACAGGGCCATGGGATCTTTAACGTCCACCTGAACAGGCATTTCATCCAAAGGACATCACCTCGAACAATGCAGCACACCTCCAGCACTGCATTGGAGAGTCAGTCGTGACTGTATGGATTCCAATTCCCAACCGTAGCTTCGAAAACACCAGCTCCCACTTCAACAATGTGAATTTCCCAATTTCTGGTCATGTGCTTGACCTCTCTGGCCAAATTACAGCTAGGTTAGGGCCACGGACATTTCCCCATTAAGAGCTGGTTTGAGACCGCTCCAAAAGCATTTCACTTGGGAGTCTTACGCATTCAATTAGTTGCCGGTGAAGTCAAACCCAAGTACCGAACGGAGAGGTTAATCCCAATCCTACCTCTGCAATCTAAAACTATCCGTCGAAGACTTCTTCGCTAAGTTTGACGTAAAACAAAGCTCTATACTTTGATAGAATAGAATTTTCTGGGGAAAAAAAGCAGCCTGTTCTCGAGGCGGTTGATTTCGTTCGCCTCTGACCACCACACTCACAAGAGTCTCATACATAACCCACGCTGCAGACCAGCTCCCTCACTGAGTCCAGGACGCATTGCTCCTGGAACGAAGCCGGAAATACGCCGAGTCCAAATCACTCAGTCGCTATTTAGTGTTATGTGCAAGTAATCTCCCTGCCTGCTTCATAACATTCAGAAAGTGCAAATGCAACAACAGCAACTTGCATTTACATAGCGCCCTTCATGCTGGATGGCGTCTTGGAGAGATACAGAGATCAAATGTACGGCAGTTTAAACAACAACATTGTAAAACAAGTTAAAATTCTAGTATTAGATTAGAGGGGTTTGGATGGTGGTCCTATATAAACTGAAGCACAAAACGGTAACCATGAAAATTGTGGTTTTACAATGAGCTCCTTCACGGGTGAACAGGCAGACTGGGCCTCGGTTTAACGTCTCATCTGGAGGACAGCAATGCACCATAACCCCAGCACAGCATTCTGCGCCAGTCTAGACCAGTGCCAGCCAAACTACGATTGGTCCACGGGGCTATCAAGAAGTCCACCCCCGTTTCCCCCCACTCCCCACCCCCTGAAAATTCGCACCAGTCTAGGGAAGTCCGTGCTCGATCGATCACGTGTTTTTCTTGCCTTCATGCCTTCACCTCCCCTCTCCACCCCCTCCTCGCTTCCTCCCTTCCCTCCCCTCACCCTGACCAGTTCCCCCCAATGCTCGGGTCCCGACCCAACTGTCCAGCGCCTTGGGACGTCCTCCCGACGTGAAAGGCACTCTCTCAATGAAATCTTGTTGTTGTTGTTTCTTGATTGAATATTTCTTGATTTACGGCATAAATAAATTTAAAGGTTCAAGACCCACAACCTACTGACTGAGTGACCACAACGCTAAAAACTGAACCAGGCAGGTAGAGTATCTGCCATAACTTCATGTAAAACAAAGACCTTCATAATAGTCGTGCATGGAATTAACAGTAAACAAACAAGCACTAAAAATTCACAGGAAATTTAGGACATCCGATTAACACTGGCCTTCCCCTTAATTCTCCAAATTACGTCAGCCACTTCAATTTTTATAATTCTTGCCACGCAAGCAACGGTGACCCTAGAAAGGAAATAACGCAGAGTCTTCCAGTAAAATAGGCCCCAAGTCAGATTCGGCAGCCGACAACCAGTCCACTTTGACTTTGCAGCCCACGGACAACGACTGGCTGGGGAAGTCTGTTTATACTAACAGTCCGCCTTCAATTTTATATTAAAAAAAACACATCAGAAATCTAGGTCAGTACAATATTATTAAAATAAATTACAAATGCCAAGCTTTATTTTTGTTAGCCGCAGCATCAATAAAATCTCATCTTCTGGGAATATTCGGCAATATTGGGCAGGGCCTTAAAACTAACACCTTAGGAACGTATGAAAAGTTTCAAACAAATGCCTCCATTTTCAAGGCCACTCCAGCCAACGAGTGAGTGACCAATTTTTGTTTGGGGGCAGATGGGGAGGGGGGGGGGTGGGGATTGCTGACCAGGACACTGGGAGAGCGAAACTCCCTTCTCTTTTCAAAGCTAGCAATAGACTAGAGTCAGAATATTGGAGGGAATCAGCTGGATCGCAAGGCTGGAGAAGACTGCACAGCTCACAGGGGAAAGTTCAAGCACATCGGCCGAATTTCCATTGCGGGAGCCAATTTGCAGGAAGGCAAAATAAAGGAAGCTTAAGTTACTTAAGATGACAGATGACCCCGGGTTATTCGATTCTAACATTTCAAGGAATTAAACCACTCAGATAGAGAGAGAAACTGCACCAAACTGAGTGCACTCCCTTTCTTGACTGCTTGGAACACAAAACTATTTGTGACTCTTTCAGGTTTCACCACTGGGTGTTGGGGGAAGGGGAAGTGAACAGTATCTTTTGAACAAATAAGGCAAAGAGACTACAAAATGTTATTTACTCACCTATGATTTTCCGTTGCTCTTCACACAGACTGATGTGAGGAAACTTCAATATTTCCTTCCACTTTTTACTTTTGCCTTTGCGCTTTCCTCCACCTCCTGCACATGAAAACAAAAAACATTTAACACAAAGGCCCGAAACAAATGGCTTACAACCATCTCAAGAAGTGCAACTTATTTGACTGATACATTAAAATCCCTCTTTGCGTTCATGCATTCATATAACACCCTTCATACAGGGTAATGTCTTGGGAGCGCTTCACAAGAAAAATTCATAACTCCTCTTCATAAGGAAAAAAAAATTCCACTCCTTAAGTACGTCTTGGGAAGCTACATGTTCAGTCAATCTCTTGAGGGAAACACACGCCTCATTGTATTGTCGATCCAACACCAGCTGTGCACAATTGGTTGCCGTGTTTCGCCCACAAAATACACAGTCAATTCACTCTACAGTACATTCCGTGAAGTGCTTTGCGTCGTCTCGAAGACATGTTCAGGTGCTATATCAAATGCGAGGCTTACTATTATTTTTAACAATGTTTTATGATCAACTCAAATAATATTGCTATTATTTCATTGAAACTCCCACAAGTACACAGTCATTACACTTTACAGGAAATCCTGTGAAACGCTTCGAGATGTCCTCCGAACGTGAAAGGCGCTGTATCAATTGAAAGAATTATTATTACTACTACTACTATTGGTAATAAAAAGCAGAGTGTTCCAGTGTCAACATACTCAATCAAAAGTATCCAACGACTGCTTCAACCCACAATTACAAACCTCAAGATATTTACATAAAGAGGAAAGAATATTATGCAACTAATTTTTTTTAACTTCCACCGTTTATAAGTTCCAAACGCTTCACCAGGTCAACTACTGACTACTGTCCCACAGCACATCCCGTCAACAAAATACCCTCAGCACTTGCCATGTGCCTTTCTGAGGTCTGATTCCTAAAGGCACAGGCACTGTACAGCCAATTCAAAAGATCCTGATGTTTAGTTAATTGGAGTTGGACAGCTGCCAATTTGCTATTTTCCTCCTTTTTAACTTACAATAACAACAACTTGCATTTACACAGCGCCCTTCACGTGGGGTTTGGACCCCGAGACCTTGACAGTGGCAGAACCTGACCCCGAGCCAGGAGGAGAGGGAGGGGGGGGATGTGACCGTAAGCACGATCAACAAGGAAGGTCTTTAGGGCGGGAGGGGGCAAAGGTGGAGGGATTGAGGGAGAGAGTTCCAGAGTTTCGGGGCGCAGTGGCTGAAGGCACGGCCACCGATGGTGGAGCGGAGGGGACGAGGGACAATCAGGAGGCCGGAGCCAGCCGACCGGAGGTCGCGGGTGATGGAATGGAGGGGGAAGCAGCTCGGAGAGGTAGGGAGGTGCGGGGGCACGAAGCGATTTGAAAACGAGTGAGAGGATCTTTGAAATCGATCCGTTCAGTAATTGGGAGCTCGTGGGGGCTTATATTTCAGCGTAAACAAAATTTGTGCTGGTATTAACTCTTGCTTTCTTTTGCTGCAAAAATTCAGATTGGACAGCCTTTCGTTCGATAGTAGTATGCCGACTGTAAGGACTGTCTGCCAGTGATAACAGGTTGCCATGGCGGTGGTATTTGCAAGATAGTGGTTTCACGTCACTCTCTACCATGGATGAAGTAGGTTAAGTATTAATGCCACTTAAATAGCATTTATGGATTTTCTAACGTTTACACTTGAAAAAATAAACTGCTAGATGTCGGCTTGGCTCTGTGGGTAGCAATCTCATTCACCTCTGGGTCAGAAGGTTTGAGTTCATGCCGTATGTTGGGATTTGAGCTCGTATTCAAAGGGAACAGTGAATTGCCAGATGTTAAACCCGTTTGGCTGGGCATCAACTATACTGTGATACCGTTTCTCCTAATGTCCTGAAAAGCCATTTTCCAGATTAATTGGGCAATCATCTCAAGACTTGTTTGCGGGACTTTGTTGAGTGCAAAATAGCTGCCGTGCCTACAAGAAAAAAGTCACTCCACTTTGAACTCTAAAGATTTTAAGGTTTTTTTTTTCTCTTACTTCCATTTTCTCTCTCAGTACATTTGCAATACAGCATTGGAATGATTTTCAAATGCTGAAATCGTAAGAAATATCAACTCCTGCACTCTGAGTTTGACCCTGGACTATGGGGAGGGACAATTTGTACCTTGGCTTCAACTAGACCTTTAAGGAATCAATGTTCAAAGTCAGGGTGCATATTAATTTTCAAGTTACTGGCAACAATGCAGAAATGTTTCATGGCTCGGGCGATGATCTGTCCAAAGATTACAACTTAAGACTTTTTTTCATCCAAATTCAAGCCCCATTGCTTACCTTAAATTCCACATTCGTAAAATAGACGACGAGAGCCAAGGAAGAAATTATTACTTGGGACTTTAAGAGCAAGATTAGATTCCCCCTCTCCTCTCTCCACCCATTTCCAGAAAGCTCACTACCTTGGAAAAATAGATATAGTTCATAATATTATAATAATAATAATCCTTGCATTTGATGGGAGCGCTTTTCATGTCTTCTGGACGTCTCAAAGCGCTTCACAGAATAGACTGTAAAGTGAACTGACCGTATATTTGTGGGTGAATCGCAGTAGCCAATTGCGCACAGCAGTGTCCCACAAACAGTCGTGGATTGAAAATGATCAATGTATTATTGTTTTGTTTTGGAGGGATTATTATTAGGCTCTGTGTGGAGTGAGGAAACTTGCTCTAACCACTGAGCTACAGGACTCCACATTTGGAGATGTTCTGTATAATGCAAACCCAGGTACGACAACACTAACCTGTATTTATATAGTGCCCTTCATTAGGGGTAATTTCTAATTTCCTGCTAAGAATGAGTGCCTGTACTTTAGCACCAAACGCAACAACCTCGTTCAAATAAGTCCCGGGAACGATGGATGTGAAAGGTGCAAAACCTTATATTATTACATTAAGTGCTCTGAGACGCTGTCCGGCTGGAAGGGCGCTATATAACTGCGAGTTGTTGTTGTTATTGTAGATGGAATGATCTTCAGAAATTGTCACCAATGTTGGGCAGGAGAGGGAGCTTCACTATGTTATCTCACTGTATCTGTGCGGTGCTGACATTCAATGCTGAAATAGTAAAATAATAATAATAATAATTTTTGCAACACTGATAGATATCCTTGATTCTGAGCACAGCTTTTATAGAAGAGAAAGAACCCAGACGATTCCTTTATAATTACTTGCTACAGAGAGTGGCGAATAAGTGGAATTTGTAGAAGACATTGAGTAAGGGATGTGAGAGATCGGATGGAAGATATTTTTGATGTATAACTTTGGACAAGGCCGGGTAAGACTGATCAGATCCTGCCAGTTATCCCATTGCTAATTAGATGTGATTTCTACTCACACAATAATCCTCATGTGCACCTCATGAACTGACCTCATCACCATCAAGCCACCTTCACCCAATTTCCCATCAGATTACCATCACCCTTTAACCAACCAACAAGCCGATTGCGCACAGACAGCAGCGTCCCACAAATGGTGCGGATAAAGCACTCTATCAAATGCAAGGATTATTATTATTAATAATTATTATTAACAAGAAAATAATTCTCTGTAGCCACGATCTACGCGGGGTGCAATTTGGAAACAAAACCATATGGAGACTTAGCACGTTCCATCACATTGCTCGGAACATGCATCCTGAAGCTATTCCTCCTTAATGTGGTATATCAAATGCAAGGATTATTATTATTACAAACACCTAAATTCTCCAGTCTGGCTGCCAGAAATACTCTCTGCAAACAAACCACTTGAAAGGCGTCCAACACAAGAGGCAGCACGTGCCCTTCGCAACCTGCTCAAGCAAGGGCGTGAATTCTGAAGCATTTAAGAATACGTGTGACCACCATACGTAGAAATGTCCACATAGTTTGACCTGCAATTCATTACAAAGGGAAAGAGCGGTCACTGTTAAGATTGTTCCAATTTGTTCCTGCAGTTGCTTACCTCAGTGGGATTGTGACGCTCTTCTCAAAATATTTCAGGTCACGAAAGGAGACTTTTGTTCTCGTTTCCAGCTCTTCAACGTCAATAATTAAATATGGTTTCTAGGAGCCAGGCTGAGGTTTTCAATGTCTTAGTCAAGGAGTTGGTACAGTACAGGACTGGAGTTACCGGCAAAGCACAAGACTTGAGATGTCTGACTATTCCCAAGACCTTAGCTGTCTTTGGAATGTTGGCCATAATAACTATGTCCTATCAAGGTCCTAAGATCACAAGATTGGATCAGACAAAGATGGTCCTTTGACGCAGTTAATCTCCTCCTTACAAACTACCCACATTACTGTCCTCCTGTCACAGTATCAAGCGGTTTATTTTGTAAATAATTCAGCGACACAGTCCTGCAAACAGAAATGTACACACAAAGTGCTCCCTCCACACAAAGGCACTGGGGAGTAGATATGTGCCTGTGTTTATGTTGCTGCAGAGATTGTTGGCAGATCCTTACATTTTCCAGTCAGTTGCTTTGCCTCAAAATAATGACATCTTATTAATCGATGAGCCAGTGACTAGAGGTCATAGATAAATATACAGTCAATTCACTTTACAGTATATTCTGTAGATGTCTCAAAGACATGACAAGGGCTATATCAAATGCAAGTATTATTATTATTATAGATATAAGATAGTCACAGGAAGAGTGAAAGGAGATCTTAGGAGAATGTGTTTTACCAGACAGAGTTATTGGGATGTGCAATGCCCTGCCAAGGAAGGTGATAGAGCCAGAATCCGTTGTGGGTTTCAACAGGGAAGTAGACAGGTACGTGAAAGATAAAGGCTTGAAGGGATATGGGGATAGGGCAGTGCGGTGGGATCGAACGAACCGCTCACTCTGAGAGCCTTTGTAGACTCGATGGGCCCAATAGCCTCCTTCTGCTCTGCAAATTTGTACGATTCTATGATGTTCCCTTTTACTAACGTACTGTGCTTCAGCCAGAGTGGGCCAACCAGGAATCGAACCTATTCCACTCGCCCTAAAATTCCTTCAATGTGTTTTCTCCAAATTTAATAATGCAGCTTCCTCATGTG